TGGTGTTGTGATGTGATCACAACGAGTCAACGAATTCACCTTATGAAATGGGACTTAGAGGGTAATACATGTTGAAGGGCAAAATGGTCATTTTGTCGACTTCGGCATATTGATGGTCAAAGTTGACTTGTGGAACGGTGGTCGGAGGATATTGTTATCGAATCATAATGAGTTTTCATAACTTTCACTCGACTCAAGAGTGCAATCCCGATTTTTTTGTAGAGTAAGCAGGGATTAATAGATGTATCTCAAGTGGTTAAGAGTTTACCCAATTAGAAACATCCATTGGAGTTTGAGTCTTGTGAGTCCGATTAGGTCCCTCTTTTGGCTCCAATAAAAGTGCGTGACTTAATTGATCTACTACAATAAAGCTTAAGGAAATTTGTGCAAATATGAAACTCTAATTGTGTGTTATAAATATGCCATTTAAGGGCACATTTGGCAAGGATTAGGGGTTTAGCCATTTTTCATTTTCCAAAAGAAATGAGAGGTATATAAATAAAAACATCATATGATCTCAAGGTGATCTAAGATCCACCATATATTTGTGTTTAATCTTCAAAGGAAAATTAATTTCCTACTGTGATGATTAAATTTCCACATCCAACAGGAGCTTCATCTGCGACTCAAATGCTGAGAACTCTTCAGAAAGCTTGTTCACATTGATATCATCACCAATCACATTACCTTCTGAATTTGACTTTAGTTTCTTTGCAGGGCTAGCATCCTCCAAGAATTGAATTTTGTCATCTTTGAAAACAGGAGAGAACAGATGATATTTATGGGGTACTCGTAGAATTTTCTCCCCAACCAAAATGTATGGAGTCAAAAGAGTTGCTTCCTTGATCAGAGCTAAAGTAAACACTAACAACATCACCAGTGTCAAGGTATGCAGCAGCATAGCCATATTCCTCATTGGTGGTTTCTCTTCAAAGAAACACATAATTGTAGAGTTCATTGTCCAAAGTGTCATGCTGGTTTGCACTTGGCTGAAGTAAGTCCAACTTTTCCTTAGGACGCACATTACGAGAATTCACCTTAACCATATGCCTTGAGTTAGAGGCTGCAACTTCTTCAAGAAAATTCACTGAGCTTCAGTATCATAAACTCTTGTAGCTTCTTCAGCACCGTTAAAAGTTCTAAGCCGAACCCTGACCCCAATCATTGGATCACGGATCTCAGCAACCCATTTACCCCTTGGGCATTGGCGGATCTAGGGATGTAAACGAGCCGAATTTCGGGCTCGGCTCGACTAAAAATGGTTCGGGTTTTTTTGGTCCTAGTCGAGCTGAGTTTTTGCTCGGCCAAAAAATCTAAGCTCAAGCCTTTATCGAGCCAAGCTGCCTCGCGGTTTTTTTTTTTTTAAATTCATGGCAAATCCAATTTTTTTTTTTTAAAAGAATTTAAAATTTGTAGAATTTATACGGATTATAAATTAAACAAAAGTTGCAACCCTCCTCTTTTTTTTGGACTTGTGGTTGGTTACAATCATTGTAGCGAAAGATACTGAATATTAAAGTAAAAGAAACTTAATATTAGAGCTAATTGAAGCAGAAAACTAGAATACTACAAGTTAAACTAATTGAAATAAATTGATGTAAAACTCAAACTCTTACACCATATTTATAACAAAAATATATATTAGTTTCAACGAAATTTAAATTTAAAATTCAAATTTAAAATTTGAATGTGATGTGATTTAACACATGCAGCCTGTACAAGCTACCTATGTAGTTGTTACACGTAACATGTAGCTGCTAGCTAGCTGCCCGCCTGCTACCTATATTTTATTTTATTATTATTTTTTTGTATTAATTTTTTTATATTTAAGGCTCGGCTCGGCTCGTCACAGGCCGAAAATGATTGGTGACACGGGGTTGCTGGCAAGAGCTCGAGCCAACATCCTAAAATGGAGCTCAGCTCGAGCTTCGGCTCAATTCTCCGGAGCTGCGAGTCGGTTTTCCACCTTGGGCCTCATTTGCAAGGGGCCTCAAGAAAAATTAAAAGTCTTTTTGAGCCCCATTTTTTGTTAAGAATATATTTTGTAATAGTGGATTGATAGAGAATATGTGGTTCAAAAATAAGAAAAAAGTTTTANTTTTGTAATAGTGGATTGATAGAGAATATGTGGGTCAAAAATAAGAAAAAAGTTTTAGGTTCGAGTGTAATATTATTTTAATGAGTAATGTGTGGTTGAAAAGGAATAAAAAAAATATATTTTGAAGATAATGAGGATCAAACAAATGCTAAAAGTCCAAAATGATATTTTTTTTTGTGCAAAAAAATTATGTAATTTTGCCCTCGTTCAATCCCCATTATTTCCAAAAAAAAATTATGTAATTTCTCTCTTCCTTTCAACTACACTTTTTTTAATAAAATAATATTATACGCAAATTCAAAAATTTTCATTATTTTTTAACCACGTATTTTCCATCAATCTATTATTTTAAAATGCATTCTTATCCAAATAATGAGACTCAAACCAAATGAACTCTTTTTAAAAAGGTATTGCACAATTAAGAAATGAACTCCACTCTATTAATTGAACTCTTTTTAAAAATTAAGAAATGAACTAAAGTTACTAAACCAAATGAAAAGTCTTGCATTCAATACATGGAAAAAGGACTTGTCATGTTAAACCATTACAGGAAATCAACATTTTGCAACAGCCATAATTTGTTGTTCAAAAATAAGAAAAAAGTTTTAGGTTCGAGTGTAATATTATTTTAATGAATAATGTGTTGTTGAAAAAGAATAGAAAAAAATATATTTTGAAAATAATGAGGATCAAACAAATGCTAACGATCCCTAACCTTTTCAATTTTTGTAGACGTTGCTCTACCTTTCAATTTGTGCCAACGAACCTTTCTAACATTTCGAAAATATGCAGTGGGGTCCAAATGGATGCAAACCATCTATTTGATCGTCAATTAACTTAAAAAATTGATTTTGACCACATTTAATAAGCTCAAAATAATAACATAGTTAATTCCATATTATAAAAACCAAACAAAATCAGAAAGAAAGAAAATAAAACCAAAAACACCTTATCTTCCACCCCCACCACCCTCCCATCCCAATCAAAATCGCCCCCTTTCTTCTTCTCCAATAAGCCCTACTAGATGCAGTAACCACCACCATCTTCGACCCACACTGCCACCACCGCCACAACTCCTTTTAGCACCCTTAATCGCCACCTTCCAACCACTCCACATTTGCCACTGTAGATTTGAAAATAAACCAAGAAAACTCACCCACTGTCACACGACAGCCACCATCGCCACACACACAATGCCGCACCTAAATCGATACTACCACCACCACCTCAAACCACCAATAGCCTCTACAATGAAAACCCATAACCAAGAGTGAAATGGTTGTCAAATTCTGTGCAATTTCGAAACCCCAAAATTGACACCAAAGATCTAAGAATCATATCATCACCAATTGCCACCATCACTAGCAATTGTCAAATCTCCAGACAACCACAGTCGAATCTCATAAAATAGAAAAATGAAAATCAAAAAAATTACAAAGCTTCAACCGATTTATAAAATTGTTGAATCTTCTACGATTTACTCCTTAAATAGCCATTTCTTGTCATAAAATAATCAGAAACCACAATTAAAGAGAGGATAAATAGAAGGTGAAATAATGGAGAGTTCATCGACCGTCATGGCTCCATTACTGGGTTTTGAGTTTTTTTGTGATAGTGGGGGTGGGTAGATTTTTTTATTTTATTTATTTTTTATTTTATGTAAATTTGGGGAGTTACCATTTTTCCCTTACCAAATTTGATCAAAATCAATTTTTTTGTCAACTCATGGTCAAATGGATGGTTTCCATACGTTTGGACCTCGGTTGCATATTTTTGAAAGGTTAAGAATGTTCGTTGGCACACATTGAAAGTTAGGGTAAAATTTACAAAATTTTAAAATGTTAGGGACTGCTGCTATAATTTTCCCTTCAAAATATCACATTTAGACCATTTCATAATCCACGTAGATGTAATGTAGTATTTTAATTGCCCTTAAAGATTAGACATATGTATCCTGTCAATTCCATTAACATTAAATACCAAAGTCACCTGAATTGAAATAGATATGAAGTTTTGTGATTTCAATGAGACTTTTAAAGTTAGGTGACTTGATTAGGGTTTCGCTCATAGTTGGTTGACCTTTGTTAGACTTACCCTTTTTCATAATTCTTAATTGTAGAAAATGAATAATTATCATTTTCATTAACTTTTGGAACGCGGCATAAACAAAACGCAACAAACAGAATAATGGAGAAAACTGGAAAGAAACTCAAAATAGAAATAGGGACCCACATACTAACAAATTGGGCCTAGCCGTATCGTAAATTCATTGAATGCCCCTGACTTTCATACAATGGTACATCGCGTCAAACTGCATTATGCAGTCATCTACAACAATGCAATATGCACTTTAAAAATTTTGACATCATCATTGACACTTCATTGTTTTTTCTTTTTTTAAAGCGTTGACAGGAAAGTGTGCATTTTTAAAACTATCCAATGTGATGTCGCCACATGGTACAATGTAAATGATGATGTAAATATTAGTGTACATGTAGCATGATTCAGTCATCTAGTTTACTGAAAACAAGATGCTGTAGCAATATTTTATATTTTATTGCAACCTCAAATTTCATCGCATCAAACTTTATGGGGAGATGCCCAACTATCAGGTAGTATACGCAAAAAAACTCTTTTTTCCTGCTTTTAGCGAAGTCTAAACAGGAACATAAAACTTGTTAGAATTAAGATGTGATCCAAATTCTATTTGAAATCTATTTGTGAATCCGGTAAGAAGTTTGGAATTTGTTTTGGGCTAGAAGAAAACATGAAGGAGTCCAAGTTGTAATAGAAGATGAAGAAATTGTGTAAAGAAAAGTAACAACGAACAAGTGCTCACTACTCGCTCGAATGCCCAGAACAGGAGCATTGCGCTCGCTTTCCGCGAGGCGATGGCTCGAGCGACAACCTTATCCAAATTTTGAATAGTTCTCGTTTTTGGCAGATATTTTAATCATATTTTATCTCAAACACTCCATTATTGTATATACTTAATTATAGTCGAACTCCAACACATCTCATACTCTTCTTGCACTATATATATGAGGAGTAAACTCGTGGAAAAAATAATACTTACATTCTACACAGTAATTTATAATCCTTCATTATTGATATTTATAAATTCTGCTCTTCCGGCCGTTATATATTTTTATCACGTAAAACTTGTGTTCATGTTTATTTTCGTATTGTCATGACTCATATTATTCTTATTCGTTCATTTACTAATCAAGTGGTATCGATTCGATACTTAATTCTTAACAAAACTTGCACTCAAAAATATTCATTTGTTCTTAATCTGCTCGTTCTCGACTTTCAAAATGTTCATTTTGTTTGGGACATTTCATGCGCCCCGTGTTTTTTTAACTGATTAATTTGTAGACTCACTTATCAGACCTTCGTCTACAACTTGATTTCAACTATTACAGTCGAAGTTGAGTGTCACCAATGAGATAACTATATTGTGGGAACATGTTAAAAGATAAATTTCTACACAACTTAGATTACTTTTTTATCACGGTCCAAGTATACATTTAATCCTTGTAAATCAATTGTAGTAGATTTCTTATAAACAAGTCTCGCAAGATTGCTCTTGATATGTAATTGTATAGCATTTGGACTATTCATAGGTAACATTGCCCATGTTTGTTGGAGATTAAAATTAGATTTTTAATAGTTTTTGATAAAAATTAATGAAATTTATGGTTGAAAATTTGTTGGACTCATGTAATATGTGGTTAAGATTGATTTTTAATTTTGACTTAAATTAAAATTAAAATTTTGATTAGTATCAAACAAGGGCATTGTAAATATTATCAATATACAGCGTAAATCCGTGTTCTTCAATTATTTTAACTCCAAATGTAAATCTTGACAGTTTGAGCAAGCTCAATGTTCAAAAGTGTTGAGT